GGGGGGGGGGGGGGGTGAGTAACACGTGGGGATGGTTTTGTCGGGAGTAGAATCAGTTGCTCTGCTCAATGAAATTGGGTGTGACCTGGAAATGAGGAAAAAACGGGGGTTTTTTCCTGCATTTTAATAGAGGAATTAATTCATTTCCTCCTGACGTTCACTCCTGCAGTGGTGATTGACTGAAGGATAAAAGGTTTTCACTCAGTCGTGTGTGTGGTGGGTAATTGTGGGGGATTGAGGCCTTTAATTGGTTAAATAAAAAATTAGACTGACGTTTCACGACACTCGCGTGGTGCTCGCGAAACACGGGATAGTGCGGGATGGAAAATAAGAATGGAAAAGGAAAGCCGAGTGGTCACGTGACTTGGGACAGAGGTGCTCAACTCGAGGGAGAGGGAAATTTGTTAATTAGAATTTTTCAGCTGTTTTGGTTATCAAAGTTGGGGAATTTCAAGGGAATAATCTTCGAGAATTATTTGGACCTATTTTTGGTGATTCAGATTCAGGTGGGAGAATGATGAAATTGTTCACGTGGAGACGATTCATTCTCTGATGTCTCCATTCAGAAATCTCGGAATACTTTTATCTATCCTTTTTAATTACGAAATTAAAAAGTTGTCACGATTGAAAGACATTTTTTGGGATTTCCTATCTTATTTTTGTAATTTTAATTTCCACAATCGCGAAATTTTAGGTGGAAAATTTGTCTCAATTTGGTGTGATTTGAATTCAGATGGGAGAATGATAAAATTGTTCCTGGGGAAACGATTCATTCTCTTATCTCTCCGTTCAGAAAATTCCTAGTATTTTTATTTCTGTTTTACAATAATGAAACAACAGTTGTCACTATTAAAAGACATTTTTTATGTAATTTCAATTTACAAAATCCCAAAACTTCAAAAGGAAAATTCTCAAAAATTATTTCTCTCAATTTTCTCCAATGCAGTTTCAGTTGAAAGAACGATAAAACTGTTGAGGTGGAGACGATTTATCCCCCGTCGGCTCCATTCAGAAATTTCAAACTTTTTTTCCCCTTCTAATAATGAAACTAAAAAGTTGTCACTGTTAAGAGCTATTCTCTGGGGACTGTCCGGGCCGTTTGTTGACTTGTACTTTTCTATAACGTCAATTGAGACAAATAGTTTTAGGAGATTTTTCTCCTAAAGTTTAATTTCATGTTATGATTATATTCAACTGCGACGATTTTGTAATTTAATTATTAAAAAGGATAGACGAAATCATGAAATTTCTAAGGAAAAAAATCATTCAACTGATATCTCCATTTCCCCACATTCCCTCATTCACTGAGTTGGAAGAACAATAAAATAATTCACGTGGAAACGATTTATCCTCTGATGTCTCCATTCAGAAATTTCGCTGTAGTTTTATTTCCCCTTTTTTTCCAACAATGAAGCTAAAAAGTTGTCACTGTTAAAAGACATTTTTTGGGAACTGTCTGGGACGGTGTCGGGGGGCTTTATCTTTAGAAGATGCGACATCGCGACAGACAGAACGAGACACTGGGGGTAAACTCGAACGTGTGTATCTTTTTATTCCAAACGGAAATAGCAATCGTTCTATGTAGCGTTAGGGATGTAGCGGGTTTTCAAGTGGTGTCTCATGCAGAATGCACACGACAAAATGTATTTTCGACATTTTTTTTCCATCGTCATTTTGTACCCTCGTTCCCAGACTGAATTCGTCTCTCCAGAATCAGTGCACCTCTTTAATTTTCTCCTTTTTCTTTATTCCCTTGGCCTCTTGTCGCCGACTTCTCCCCGTTCATTTAAATTTTTTTTCTCATTTCGTTTCTCTCTCCCATTCTTCCTCAATGTCTGTGGGAAGTGAACACGTCATGCAGGTACATAAGCAGGCGGAATACGAAAAAATATATATATAAAGAAAAACGTGTTATTTGGAAATTATGAGAGATGACGTCATGAATTCACGTGTGGTATACGTAAGGCGTTGGCCAACCTACTGTACCTTATCACAATGGAGTGGAAAAAATGAGGATAAAAGGCCTTAGCGCCACTATGCGTGCCAAGGTGGGGAAGACAGTGCCAAGTTGCATGATCTTGACTGAACCTCTGAGAAATGTCGTTATTGCCAGCTATTTCCATTATCTCGCGCTATTTCTACCTGCATTAGGTTGTTAACTAAACCTCGTAAACAGTCAGGTGGCTCCTCTCTTTCGAAAGGTTAATGGTCTCGGTGCATAAAGAAATAAAATTGAGTAAACAATTCTCTGAATTCCGGATCAGGAAAAATTCACACGGTCCAAACACCGAAAATTTGGCAAAAGTTATGGCCGTGACTATTCGCACCATTGCGTGAATCACTCCCGTACACTCCATACACTCCACGCATGCGTGAAGTTTGTGTATTTCACGCAGTTGAAGTTTTATACACCTGTGTGTTTCATGCAGTTGCATTTTGATACACCTGTGTGTTTCATGCAGTTGCATTTTGATACACCTGTGTGTTTCATGCAGTTGCATTTTGATACACCTGTGTGTTTCATGCAGTTGCATTTTGATACACCTGTGTGTTTCATGCAGTTGCATTTTGATACACCTGTGTGTTTCATGCAGTTGCATTTTGATACACCTGTGTGTTTCATGCAGTTGCATTTTGATACACCTGTGTGTTTCATGCAGTTGCATTTTGATACACCTGTGTGTTTCATGCAGTTGCATTTTGATACACCTGTGTGTTTCATGCAGTTGCATTTTGATACACCTGTGTGTTTCATGCAGTTGCATTTTGATACGCCTGTGTGTTTGACGCAGTTGAAGTTTTATACACCTGTGTGTTTATACACACAGGAGTGTGAAATACACAGGAGTATCTGAATACGACTGCGTGAAACACACAGTAGTATGAAACTTCAACTGCGTGAAATACACAAACTTCACGCATGCGTGGAGTGTATGGAGTGTACGGGAGTGATTCACGCAATGGTGCGAATAGTCACGGCCAAAAGTTATCCGTTGATATTGTTCAATTGAAAAATTCAATGCATTTAAAGTTAATGAAATGAAAAAATGAATATTCAGTACAAAATCGCGCGGAATCTTCTTCATTTTTGTCAAATTTCATGGAATAATTGAACCAAAATTGACAATTTTCATTGATTGTTCTGTAAAATTTCTAATTTTCTATGAAATTCTTAGAAATTTATGAAGGAATGAAACTAATTGAATAATTAACAGAATTCTGGGTCAGTCAAAATTCACGGGTTCCAAACACCGAAAAAATTTCACCAAATTTGTGCATAAACAATTGAATATCCTTCCTTTGCTATTGTTTAATTGAAAAATTTAATGCATTCGAATTTAATGGAATAAAATATTAATAGGGGAGGTTGGGGTAAAACGGACACTTTTTACTTTTTAAAAAATGTTAACGAGGGGTTGAAATATTGATAAAATTCAATAATTTTTTTTTTCAATGCAAAGAACAATTCTTTCCCTTTGTGACGAGCCTAGACTGAGCTCAATTGATCAATTTGTTTCTCAGTTATGAATAATTAAAAAGAAGTCTAAAGTGTCCGTTTTACCCCACCCTCCCCTATTCAATATCAAATCACGCGGAATTTTCCTGATTTCTGTTAATTTTCATGGAATAATTAACCTCAAATCAATTTTCATTGATTGTTCTGTAAAATTTTGATTTTTTTATGAAATTCCTTGAAATTTATAAAGGAATAAAATTAACTAAACAATTCCCAGAATTCTGCATTCATGAAAATTCACAGGGTCCAAACACCAAAGATTCTTCCCAATTCATCCGTAAAAAATTGAATATCTTTCATTTATTATCTACTAATTGCACACTTGCATGGAAATTTAATCCAATTAAATTCAGCACCAAATCACGTGGAATTTTCCTGATTTCAATTAATTTTCATGGAATAATTGAACTAGAATTACCAATTTTCATTGATTGTTCTGTCAAATTGTGAATTTTCCCTCACGAAATTCCTCGAAATTTATGAAAAAATAAAATTGAATAACTAATTTCCAGAATTCCAGACAACCAAAAATTCACACGTTCCAAACCCCAAAAATTCCATCAAATTTATCCATAAACAATTGAATATTTTCCGTTAACTACTGTTTAATGTCACAATTAAATGCATCCATCAGATAAAATCACATTTACCACCAGTGAGTTATGAGAAAGTTTCAGCAAAAAATGAACTCACTGAAAAAGAATAGAAATTTCGCCATTCAATACTCATTTTATGTGCCCAGAGTACACTCCACCTCCCTGGCTATTTACGATGCTGAAGGAGTTGGTGTACCTGAGTATAAAGAATTCCGGTGTTTGAAATAGTACAGCCAGGCACCCATTTTAAAGCCAACAAATCAATAGTCCACTGTGTTGGTTCGTGATAAAATTTCGTTGGCAATGGTGGCCCCCGATAAAGGATTCGCCATAGAGGAACGTTTGAGAAAGGGGTATAGGGAGGGCCCTGTGGGGACTAGTGGCAACGAGCGATTTTCGTGTCTCCGGGCGGTTAACGAGCGGCATACCTACTGAGCGTGAGCGTTTCGCTATCGTGGCCGATCTTCGAACGGTGAAAAGCCGTCTCGTGGTCTCTGTCCTTTTTTTTCCTCTTCATTTCTTTCTTTTACGAGTGAAATGGTTATACACTTCTTACACTCACTGCAGTGAGGCTCTGACGAGCTAGGAGAATGGCTCATCCTGTTTATGGAATTTCCGTCAATTTTTTTTTCGTTTCCTTCCGATGGGTTTTCCGGAGTTGAAGGAAAATTCACTTCCGTTTCGCTGGGTTATCGTTGGGTGATTGATAATTACGGGATTCGAGGGGAATTATTCAATAAATTGAATAATGGAATACGACAATTGGACGAGAAGTATTAAACACTTTTTTTTT